TGTTAAATGAGTATAACTTATAGAAAGTAGCATGAAATAACATGAATGAATACTCTGTTAAATGAGTATAACTTATAGAAAGTAGCATGAAATAGCATGAATGAATATTCTGTATGTCCATTTAATAGAAGGGTCACTGACAGTTAACTGGACCATAATGGAACATAATAATCAGTCATAATATCATTAATTTTTAATAATGTTTTTAATAATCCTTAAGAGAAATTTAAATACTACCCAGAACTTTCAACTTGCATTTTCTAATATTTTGGGGTCATTTCAAGTACCTTAACTAGTTTCTGGCAAACACATGTATCACAAGTATGTCACCTTGCCCTTACTGACCCTAAGATACTGATACTAACTGTTTTTCATGGATGATTTCAGGTTGAGGATATCACACTTTCCTAGAGAGAGGACTATTTTCTTTGACCTATTGAAAATTATCTGTTGGCAGAATTGCTGGAATCCTCTTGACTTATGTCATTCTAATGACAACTATATCAAAATGTCAGGACAGAAACAAAGTATTGAAAATAGACCATTGGAAACGATAACAATAGCCAACCCAATGAACAAGTAAATAGTTTACACAAAGCCTCCATGTATTCAAATTACAAAGCAATGGCCATGTGTCACAGACAACTCCTTGCAATGCAGACATTTATCTGTAGAAAGTGCAATTCTGACATCCTGAAACAACAGATACTCCACCTTGTAATGTAACCTTTAATTAACATCCTTATCAATGGCATTAACTACATGTTTGATTGCCATAGTAACACATACATTTCAATTTTACTTCTTTTTGAAGTGATTCTTAAACACTAAAAAGTGAAGACCCTATTAATTAATGAACATACACTATCCATTAATATGAATCTTGATGGGATGTTTACTAATTCAATCATAAAGAATCTTCTTATTTTTCTGATTAAAAGAAAATCCATTAGATCAGAATATATCATTTCCATTGGTTGTAAGAATAGACTACCTTAATGTTGCTTGAATAAAAAAAAAATAAACAGTTTTCCCTCGTTTGATAAAGACAAGATAAAGACTGGTTGATGACACATGGTATGAAAATAACTGGTGTAAAATCAATATCAGGCCATCTCAATATGATTCCCAGCCCCTTTATACTGGAATCATTAAAGACAGAGCAAATGCAGCATCACCATTAAGCAATATTTGTGTTAAAATATATACAAAGGCAAGTCTTTTGGAAAACCTTTGTGAAAAGTGTGATCATAAAAGATCCAAGCAGCAGCCTTAGCCTATAACCTTTTTCACTTTAGGTAATACCTGACCTTGACCTGTGACCTCATTATTGAAAGAAATACAATATTTGAGAAGAAGTGATTTAAGCTATATGGAGCAGACTAGCATTTTCTAGGTGTCAATGACCTTTGACTTCTGACAATAATATAGTATAAAGGGCTAAACTTTGACAGATTGGATTATGTGAAAATCTATATTGTGTCAACAATTTGTTATAGACAAACACTACCAAATTCTTTTGTTATAAATATGTTAGTAAGCCCATACTTCGATGGGAACAAGACAAGTTCTCTGACATACCTACTAAGAAATAACTAGTTTGAACTAAACAGTTATAAGTTAGAATCTAAGAACAGTTAGCCTCTGTGAATAAGAGGTATGGAATAAATCCATAAGGACAGCAATTCAATAATGAATGTCATAAAAAAGTAAGCATCTAGCTACTATTCTTAAAATGAGCTTTCTAGCTACTTCTCTTATAATGAGCCATGACTCACTGTATCATGGTTTCACATGCTTCATCAATCTAATTGTAATGCCATTTTAATGATCATATTTCAATACATTGGTTTACCACTGTAATTGAATCTTATAATGTTCAATACAACACAAACACTGCTGTTGAACATTATAATAATGGAACACATGTCTTCTAAATAATGATAGAACCAGATAGGTTACCTGAAAGATTACCTATATTATAAGGCTATAACTGTCAGTACAGGCTACCTGAAAGATTACCTAGAAATGTAAGAACAGGTTACCAAAAGAATTTTCTATAACTGCAAGAACAGCTAGGTTATCTAAAGGTTTACCTTTAACTTAAAGAAAAGATTATCTAGAGGATTTCTTATAACTGTTAGAGCAGGTTATCTAAAGGATTTCTTATAACTGTTAGAACAGGTTATCTAAAGGATTTCCTACAACTGTTAGAGCAGGTTATCTGAAGGATTTCCTATAACTGTTAGAGCAGGTTGTCTGAAGGATTTCTTATAACTGTTAGAACAGATTATCTAAAGGATTTCATACAACTGTTAGAGCAGGTTATCTGAAGGATTTCCTATAACTGTTAGAGCAGGTTATCAGCAGGATTTCTTATAACTGTTAGAACAGGTTATCTGAAGGATTTCTTACAACTGTTAGAGTAGGTTATATGAAGGATTTCCTATAACTGTTATAGCAGATTATCTAAAGGATTTCTTATAACTGTTAGAGCAGGTTATCTAAAGGATTTCTTATAACTGTTAGAGCAGGTTTTCTAAAGGATTTCTTATAACTGTTAGAGCAGGTTATCTAAAGGATTTCTTACAACTGTTAGAGTAGGTTATCTCAAGGATTTCTTATAGTTGTAAGGGCAGGTTATCTCAAGGATTTCCTATAACTATTATAGCAGGTTATATTAAGGATTTCTTATAACTGTTAGAGCAGGTTATCTAAAGGATTTCTTATAACTGTTAGAGCAAGTTATCTTAAGGATTTCTTACAACTGTAAGAGCAGGTTATCTGAAGGATTTCTTATAACTGTTAGAGCAGGTTATCTTAAGGATTTCTTAAAACTGTTAGAGCAGGTTATCTGAAGGATTTCTTATAACAGTTAGAGCAGGTTATCTAAAGGATTTATTATAATTGTTAGAGCAGGTTATCTGAAGAATTTCTTATAACTGTTAGAACAGGTTATCTAAAGGATTTCCTATAACTGTTAGAGCAGGTTATCTGAAGGATTTCCTATAACTGTTAGAGCAGGTTGTCTGAAGGATTTCTTATAACTGTTAGAACAGGTTATCTAAAGGATTTCTAACAACTGTTAGAGCAGGTTATCTAAAGGGTGTCCTATAACTGTTAGAGCAGTTAATCTGAAGGATTTCCTATAACTGTTAGAGTAGGTTATCAGCAGGATTTCTTATAACTGTTAGAACAGGTTATCTAAAGGATTTCTTACAACTGTTAGAGTAGGTTATCTGAAGGATTTCCTATAACTGTCATAGCAGGTTATCTAAAGGATTTCTAATAACTGTTAGAGTAGGTTATCTAAAAGGATTTCTTACAACTGTTAGAGTAGGTTATCTCAAGGATTTCTTATAGTTGTAAGGGCAGGTTATCTGAAGGATTTCCTATAACCATTATAGCAGGTTATAATAAGGATTTCCTATAACCATTATAGCAGGTTATATTAAGGATTTCTTATAACTGTTAGAGCAGGTTATCTAAAGGATTTCTTATAACTGTTAGAGCAGGTTATCTTAAGGATTTCTTACAACTGTAAGAGCAGGTTATCTAAAGGATTTCTTATAACTGTTAGAGCAGGTTATCTTAAGGATTTCTTACAACTGTTAGAGAAGGTTATCTGAAGGATTTCTTACAACTATTAGAGCAGGTTATCTTAAGGATTTCTTATAACTGTTAGAGCAGGTTATCTTAAGGATTTCTTACAACTGTTAGAGCAAGTTATCTAAAGGATTTCTTACAACTGTTAGAGTAGGTTATCTGAAGGATTTCTTACAACTGTTAGAGCAGGTTATCTTAAGGATTTCTTACAACTGTTAGAGCAGGTTAAAGGATAAAGGGTACCCAAAGGATTACTGGTAGAACAGGTTTTAGGAGTAAAGTAAAAATAACTGGTAGGACAGGTCACCCCAAGGATTACCTATAAGTGTTAGACAGGGTACCTGGGATCATAGTTTGCAATATCTTTTGTTCATATTGAGTGTGATTGTATTCACAATTTATAGAGTATAATGAGCATTTATCGTTGTTAGGGCTATTATTTGCTAACTTAATTTGTCAAAACTTTGACCAGCAAGATAGTTAGATGGAGTCCTAGTATAAAGGTTGTTGATTTTCTTTTCACAAAAATCTTACAATTAAAATTTATCGTAAGATATACTGAAATGCGAATGACTTACGGTCTGTTTATCTTAAGATATTTTGTGAATAGAGATGCTGTTTGATATTAAATGAAACATAATTGGATAAAAAACCAACCTCTTCATTTGAAAGACATAATTTTATTCCAATTTGAAAAGATTACAAACTGAGACAGACTGCTGAGAAGTAAGCATCATCAACAAGAGTAACAATAATAAAGCAATAATTGACAAAACTTTCCTCAAACAATACCAGTACAATGGTTTACTTTCAGTGCTAATTAGTTTTGACAAAGTTCTCTGACACAAAACAAAAACATCTGTCTTGACTTCCCTAACAACAAGATGGTGACTGCTAATTTTCTACATAGTTCTTCCCAATTATAATGGCTCATACATAAAACTAATAGGATAGGAGGTAATTAAGTCAACCATGTATCAGTACAAAATCTTTGCTACTGTTGTAATAAAAGAACCAAAGATGATTCTTCTTGGTTTTTATATTTTGCACCAAAACTTACAATTTTTTGTGTATGAATTATACACGTCATATATGAGGGTCAGTGCTATTTTGTAATAAAATTGTTCTCTTTACTGGCAACAAGAACAGTTTGTTTTTTTTTTAATTATTTATGTTCCAGCTACTTTACACCTTCCCATAGTTATCAGACAAAAGAAAAATTCTTTTAGGTTTTAAATGGATTCAAATTGTAAAATTTATTTACTACTATGTATGCTCAAAACAAGAATATGCACTGAAAATTATCAATCAATGATTACCATTTTTTTATAGGTAGACTTGTTTCTAATTAACAATAAACTTTTTAATATAAATGTATCATTTAATTACTGTACCTTTTCTTCCTTTTCTTTTGACCGATTCCATTTCAACTTGGAAGTGAATTTAAAATTAAATCTTTTCTTTTCCATGAATGTAATCTCAATCAGCAGATAATATATCCAACAGAACAAAACAAAAACAAATAAATAAATAACCCAAAATATTTCCAAATTAACAAAAGCAGAAAATAATCAAGAGAAAAATCAGAAGTATCTCCTACACAATGATGTGAGTTAGTACAGCATCACCATCTGTAGTTGTATAAACACGACAGGCTCGTTATCTTCAGTAATATCAATACACACACTTCACTTTTTGAATCAGCCGCCTAATTTTTATTAAGAACAATTAATTACAAGAATCCCCTTGAAATATATATATTGTTGTTTTCCAAAAAAGAGGCAATTTCAACAAACAACAAAATTATCTGCATTTCATCAAACTTTTTTATCTTCTTTAATCTTTCACTTTTTTTAACAAAAACATGAAGAAACTTAGTTATCACAACCTGTGCCCATACTTCAATTCTCTCTATCAAATCTTTTACATCTTTTGTTCTTAATCAGTTTACATTTACTTGCAAGTTACAGGTTATGAGAATTTATTTGATGAAGAAAAAGAGTGCCTTTACTTTAACATTTAGGAGATATTATTTTGGATTTTGTACAACTAAACAAACAAACAAAATTGACGTTTATGATGGACCACCTATTAAATAATAATACATTTTTTTGTTTTCTTAATACTTCCATGGATACTTGCAGATTTTAGAAAAAAAAATAACACAACAGATTTTCAATGTCCCGCATTGCACATATTTTATCTAGCCAAGGGCAATAAAAAAACACTTTTTTTTGCTCTTTAAAACTTTTTCCAAATATCTTATGGAAATGAAGGCTTGAGAGCAATTACAATGCAATTTCCAATATAATTAATATTCCAAGGGCATAACTCTTTTAAAAATATTTGATCAGCACTGATTTCCATACTAATCAGAGACATTGCTTACATAGACCTTTGATATAAATTTGATAAAAATCTGGCAAAAATTGTACACATGAGAGCAAATACAATGCCATTTTCCATATAATTAATATTTTCAAGGGCATAACTCTTTTAATTTTTTTAACTGGCACTGAATTTCAAACTTGTTTGAGACATAGCTGATATAAACTTATGATATAAGTTCCATATAAAATGTGGCAAGAATTGTACACATGAGAGCAGTAACAATGAAATTTTCCATATGATTAATATTTCATAGGTTTTACAAATAATTGATCGGTATTGATTTTTCGAACTTGTCCAAGACATTGCTGATATAAACTTATGATGTAAGTTTCATATAAAATGTGGCCAGAATTGTACACATGAGAGCGTTAACAATGAAATTTTCCATATAATTAATATTTCAAAGGGGCAAAACTCTTTTAATAAATTGCTTCGCCGAGCGCAGCTGGATACGACCGCAGAGGTCCAACCCTGAACAGTTGGGGCAAAAATGGACGCAATATTCGTGCTTGATACAGGTCTGAATTTGGATTGTAATTAAATATTTGACACATAAAAGGTTTCTGACACAGAATAACTGTAGTCAAAGAACTAAGAATTGGTGATATGATTTGAATTTATATTCAATTTTTTGCTTTCGAGCAATACACTTTACTGTTGCAAATTGACCCTCCCTCCCCCCATACAAAAAAATAATAAATTTACCCCCCCCCCCCCCCCTCCCCTTTTTTTTTGGCTTTTGTGCAATACACTATGCTGTTGCATATTGAAGAATTTTTCTTTTTAATTACTGAAATCTGAAATGAGAAAAAAATGACCCCCCACAATTTCTTTTTACCACCCCCCCCCCCCCCCTTTTTTTCCCCAAAATAATTCTTTCCCTCAAGATATGGTCATAATCTCAATTCAAATTTCCAGTGAGTTTGCAACCATAATTACCCATTTAAATTTACCATAGTGCTAACTTAATCTATTTTATAATAGAATTTAAAATATGGTGTCAAATCTTTCATATGGATTTTACAAAAAAAAAAAAAGATGCAACATTTGCAGATATTTTTACTGGTCTTCCTTTATAAATATGCATTTCTTTAAACATAATTTAAAAGCAGTGTAAGGGGGGTAATCAAAAAGTTGTATTTGGATTACCTCCCTTACACTGCTTTAAAATTGTCTTAATTGTTCATCAACCATTACTTTATACATAATTCAAAAGCAGTGTAAGGGAGGTAATTCAAATGATGTATTTGAATTACCTCCATTACACTGCTTTAAATTATGTTTTGTACTAAAGTATTTGTCCATTAACCAGGACACCTTTGTTTTCCCCCCTTTTTTACCCCTAATTCCTAAATGGTTTGAGCCATAACCCCCCAAAGCAAATCCTAACCATCCCTTTGTGGTATGGAAACTTGTGGTATAATATCAGAGGGATCCATACACCGTTTCACAAGTTATTGTCTGGAAACTAGAAAAATGCTTATTTTTGGCCCCTTTTTCCTTAACTGTTGGTACCATAACCCCCAAAATCAATCCCAACCTTCCTTTTGTGGTATTGAACCTTATGGTAAAATTTCATAGAGATCCATTCACTTAAACTAAAGTTATTGTGCGAAAACCAATGTGTTTTCGGACGACGACGACGACAACGCCAACGTCATACCAATATATAATTTTTTGCGATCGTATAAAAAATGGTTGATCAGCACTGATTTTTGAACTTGTCCGAGACATTGCTGATATAAACCTACGATATAAGTTTTATAAAAATCTTGCAAGAATTGTGCAAGTGATAGTACTAACAAGACCTGACAGACAGACGGAACAGATGGTATTTCCATGTCCCCTGCATCACGCGGAGGACAATAACTAATTCTATCACTGTGAATACTTATACAGCTATTTCAAAACACATGTAATGTCCAAACACACATGAAAATTTAAAATATTTAGATGGTTTTATACTCAATGATTAAATCAGCTGATTCTTGGAACTATATTGCGTACAATATCATTCTCCATGCATAAAATATAGGTAACACTGAGACAGAGGAAAATCTGTGGTTTAGAAAAGTAGTATATCACAAAATAATCAAGAAAAGGGGTTGCATGACAAAATTATAGGCAGGATTTCAGTTGAACAATATCTGGAAAATTAACAAAATTCTGTCACTTTCATGTAGGGATGACTTTCATTTGGATAAAATCAAATAACTTCTAACCTTTCTATGGCTCAGCAATATCTAGAGAAGTTTATAAAAAGAAACTTAAATAAACATTAATGACATCATGCCAATAACATATAATTAATGTCTATTTTTTTGTAAATAATGCAAAATATCTTAACACATGAAGTTTAAAAAGACCATTTGGTGATCTGTAGTTGTTCCTTTCATTTGCCAATCATATCAAAAGTTGTTTTATATTATGTGTAGGTAGCTCTACGAAATAACACAAAACAAACTAGAACATCAAAGTTGGGATGAAAGTGCCAATTATTTCTGCCAAAATTTGAAAATTAAATGGGAATGATTGGCACATGTTTCTATAATTTGAAAGTTTGTTTACAATGCCTACATTGTTAATGAGATATAAGTATATAACAGGTAAAAGAATCTTCCATCTGCAATTACAACATCATAAGACTAATTACAACATTTTATTATACGTTTCCACCATAAGTATTGCAGAAAGCAAGATGTCATTGCCAGGATCACTACTGAGACTAAAATAAATGCAATGTTTTTTTAATGATGTTGTATGTCTATAGATGCTAAAGGATTGCTATACATTACAATACATAAGCTGCCTTTGAAAATAATGGCTATTGCCCTCACTGCATAAGCCATAAAAAATTGGACCACTTGTAGTTTTCCATTATTGGTCTGAACATTTGACCTCACAAGTGAAACTCCCAAATCCTTTTATTTTAAGAACATCTGCACATAATAAGGAAAAATATGATAAAACAATTAAAAGGAATAAGATATGTATCGATCGACATAAAAATCATAAGTGAAGATGCACAGACAAAAATAGGATTACAAAAATTTGTATTCCTTGTAACTGCTGCCATCGGAGTAAAAACGTAATGCTGACTGCAATAAAATTAAAATAAGTCAATTTGTCGGAGGAAAACAGCAAAAGGAATAAATAAAAAGTATAAATTTTGCCCAGTTTGTTATCTCTTAATGACGAAGAAGCTTCTGTCCCAGTTTTGTAAAATTCCATGAAGATTTGACAAAGTTATTCAAGTTTAAAATCTTTCCCCACAGACTGTACCTCAGTGTTGATTGAAAAAACTGATTACTCTTCTAGAGCATCTGAGACAACCCCCAATTTCTTTTGGTAGCATTTGTGTCTTAATTTTTTGGTTAGTGAATTGTTTTTAATGCTGAATTTCATTGAAGAAATATATCCAACATCATTTCTTTATCCACCCATTCCAAAAACTCATCACTACATTTTTTCACTCCAGCCAAGATAAAATTATCCATGCTACTAGTTAGAAATCTTCTATAATTAGAAGAATCTATTATCATTCTTGGATATGTGCAAAAAAATACAGCCCAAAACAATTTTCTAGTATGAATGGCTTCAGTGAAAGGAGATATTGAAATGATGTGTTAGATACTTGTGTATAAAACTAATTTATGATCATATGACAAAGAAACTAAAAAAAACAACATTTGAAATAGCAATTTTAAAAAGCAAAAATGCTTCTTAATTCCAATAACATGGTTTACTAAAGGTCATAATGACACCACCTTAACTATCTATTTATTAATTTTTAATATAAAATATATCTACAGAATTGATGTCTGTGGCTGATTTAAGAGGAATGTCTATACTTTTACTTTTATCTTTAGAATTGTGAATCATTGCTGAGATTTGATAGAAATCTGTGTGTCTATGATGATTATAATATCTGTTACTTACATTAATTTATCCCCCTAGGAGTCAATACTTTATCAAAGTAATTATAAACTGATCTCATTACAGCCTTGGTGCTCCTATACTAAGAAATCCCAATGCCTGCATGGTTACCAGTTGCTTTGGTTTGAATGCAGCAGATACAATTTCAAAAATTTCTACTTTTTTTTCTTTTGGTGAGATTAAAAGAATGATATAGACAATATCTTAGCATTAATAATAAACAAACTTGAAACTTGTGTGAACATATGTTTCTTTTTACAGGGGAAATATCACAGATTAGAAAGTTTACCCTAGGAGTCAATATGTAATCTTCTTTAAGGTGAGTTGGTAATGAAAGCATACAAAGGAGGCAAAAAATATTTTTCCTCCAATTAACTCTGAACTATAAACAATTGATTTGGACCACAGTTTTGATGAATCACCTGGATAAAGATGTTACTACTATTTATACAACCAAAACATCCTTCCTGCCTTTCGTTTTTAGATTGCATATGCAAAGTTCAATGATCAGGTCTGCATGCATACAAGAAAAGTACACTGCAATTAAACATTATGTAATTTTAAATCTGGTATTAGAAAAAAGATCAGATTTAAAACATTTCTTTACAGGGAATCATAGGCTTTCTCTTTAGTTGCAGAGACTGAATTTCAAAAATATAAGCTGCTAACTTGCCAATGACTCAATATCTATTTCACCTTCAAAGGTGACCTCTCTGACCTTCACGTCACTATATCAACATCCAAAGTAAACAATTGATGACAGTCTAAGTGCTATATCATTATTCAAAGCCCTCATCAACTGATAATCTGACAGTCTTATCCTCAGGCTCATCTAGTGAGAGTTATCTTTCTTGATTAAAAAGGTTTCTTTTGCAATTTTACGACTTATCCTATGGTTTTGTTATAAGAAAGAATGGCTGACAAATGACTCAATCATTGATAGTAAATAAAATGTATTTAATATCAATTGTAAGATAAATCATGTATCCTCTGACTGTAATCAACAGCTGCACACCATGGGGCACTGAACCCTTTGCAGATTAAAATCATAAGCATTTTTTTAAATTTCAAATATTAAAACATACTTAATCTATTGATCATTACAAATAATGAAGAGAAAACGCCTTTTGTTCTGTTTATCTTTAAAACAAAACAAAACAAAAAGTGTTTGTGGTTTACTCAAATTTTCTTGAAGACAGGGTACAATAATCCTATTTGGCATAATTCATTATGGAATTTTTAACTTTAAAATTTTGAATTCCATTTGTGTTTATGTCAAAGTAAAATAATAAACACTGAGAACAATTGATACTGTTCATTTAGGAGCCACGATATCTTTCACAATAAACTGACTATCTAGAAAGGCTGTCTAAAATACATAGATCTGTCTGTTTATATGGATATTCACAACGAACGTACTCCCTTTATACTCACCATCAATAGAATTGAATCAACTTTCAAGATGGATTAATAATGAACAGTAATGGCATTGGCATTAATGAATGCCAGAAGTGTAGACTTAACTCTTTTACAAAATAATACAGGACCTCATGTTAGCGATTGTATAATTGAGGTACCCCATATATAACATAAAACTAATGATTAACTCTACGATATGATAAAGGATGGGACACAATGCAGGCATGAGTTAAATGAGCCTCTCCCATCCAGTAATGTGCCTATATATCTAGCCATTCCAAAGCCACCTCAAATCCTTGGATGGTATTATTCTTGTATAAAGTATCCACATT